TTTAATGTGTTTGTTTTCTGGTTTTTGATTTGTTGTTTTGTTGTTTTGTTGTTTTGTTTATAATTATTTAGTATTACAGCGAATAAAGAAACATGACATTGCACAATGCATAGTTTGACCGTGGGGTGCCTTTTAGAAAATGTGTACCTTAAACAGTCCCAAAATGCACTGCAATGACAAGTGAAGCCAATATTTTCCTCCATTTTGGTATTGCTAATAGGTGTGACGTAATTTTATAATAATTAGAAATGGCGCTTTTTTGACTAAAATCAATTAAAAATTAAAACATCAACTTCTAAATTTCAATTAGAATCCAATGGAAGAAGAGACACTCTGTGGAATCTACTGTTCATCCCATTATTTTTTATTATTATTATTATTATTATTATTATTATTTTCCCAATTTGGAGGAATAACACTAATAATGTACTAACAAATCACTCATGATTGTAAGCTGCACGGCTGCTACTAGCGCCTTAATATGCAGCCCGTAAAGTCCTCCACTACTGGTCATGATTGTGAAGCACATTGAGACTATCTGAAATGCGCTATCTAAGTACCCCGTTATTATTATTACTATTATTATTATCATTATTATTATTATTATTATTATTGTTGTTGTTGTTGTTGTTGTTATTATTATTATTTAATAAGCATTGAGTCATGCAGTCCAAAGACCACCTAGCGATTCCATGAGATCTATACAAGATTACCTGCCCAGATGGTCTCCTAATCCCTACTTTATATTTCCACAGAACTTATCCTGCGAATTATTTATTTGTTAAAAGGAAAAACACAAGTAAACATGGAGGGATCTCATGTTAATGGAATAGCTGTGAGCGAAGCGACGAACGTTCAGCCACCTACGGATACGAGTACGACTGGCATCGAGGTGAATGGAGATGACAAGGAGAAGAAAACGCCAGGGGCAAATGAAAAAGGCGTCGAGGACCAAAAACAGTCGTTTAAATTTGTTTTAAAAACAAAAACAAGCGTATCCAGTACGGAAGATAATACTGAAGATAAAGATACTGAAACGGAGGGAGAAAGGGCGTATTCGTATGTAATACGCTCACAGACGTCTGTTGAAAGTTACGAAGACACCAGAGATAACCCTACAACGCCACCAAGTGACACACAGTTAAAGTTTACTGTGAGAACAAAGTCCACCGAAGATCATGAAACAGGGACGGATAATACGGGGATAGAAAATGGCTCGATATCAACAACAGATGATGTTTTTAATGAAATCGGAGAAACCCAAACTGAAGAAGAGAAAGAAATCGCTTCTAAAGCAACTGAAATTGTGGCAACGATTTTAAACAAACTAGAAGAAGAGGAAAAAAACAAAGGTGAAGTACAAAAAGTTGAAGAAGGAAAAGCAGAATTAGAATCAGGAGATGTTTTAGCAGCAGAAGTTCCTGCACAAGAAATGCAGCACTCATCTGATGATAAAGATGGCAAGGCTGAAGTGGAAGTGATGAAATTTGAATCAAGCGATGAAAAATTTGAAGTAGAAGAAAAAGTGGACGTAGAATCTGCACCAGAAGACGTATCAGCAGTAGTAGTTCTTGCACAAGGAGCGCAGCAGCCATCAGGAGACAAAGAAGACAAAGCGGAAGTTGAAGTGATAAAATTTGAATCAAGCGATGAAAAAGTTGAAGTAGAGGAAAAAGTGGACGTAGAATCTGCATCAGAAGACGTATCAGCAGTAGTAGTTCCCGCACCAGAAGCCCAAAAGTCATCAGGAGACAAAGAAGACAAGGAAGAAAAGGCGAACGTAGAAGCGATTAAATTTGAATCAACCGAGGAAAAAGCAGAAATAGAAGAGAAAGTGGATGTTGAAGTAGAACCAGCAACAATAGCTACAGCGCAAGGGGAAGAACAAGATCAAGATAAAGAACACAAAGCTGAAGTAGTAGCAATGAAATTTGAATCTAACAAAGAAGAAGAAGACGTACAAGAAATAGCTGACGCTCAAACAAAACCAGAAGAAATACTAGGTTCAGTCGTAATAGCACAAGAAAAACAGCACTCAACTGAGGATCAAGAAGAAAAGGCTGAAGTAATGACAATGAAATTTGAATCCAATGAAGAAAACGTCGAAGTAGAAGAAACAGCTAAGGTTGATAGAGCACCAGCAGTAGTTGTGTTACAAAATGAACAGCAGCCATCAGAGGATCACGAAGGCAAAGCTGAAGTAGTTGCAATGAAATTCGAGTCAAGAGAAGAGGAGACTGAAGTAGAGGAGAGAGCTGATGTTGAAGCAGGACAGGATGTAGTAGCAGTTACTGTGCAAGAAAACCCACAGCCATCGGAGGATAAAGAGGACAAAGCTGAAGTACTTGCCATGAAATTTGAATCCAATGAAGAAAAAGTAGAAGAAACAGCTGATGTCGATGAAGCACCCACAGCGGCAGTTGTTGTAGAAGAAGCACATCAGCCATCTGGAGATCAAGAAGACACAGCTGAAGTAATGACCATGAAATTCGAGTCAAGAGAAGAGAAGGTTGAAATGGAACAAACAGCTGATGTTGAAGAAGCAGCTCCAGGAGTAGTTGCAGCGGATGAAGAAACCAAACCGACACCTGAGGATCAAGAAGGCAAGGCTGAAGTAGTTGCCATTAAATTCGAGACAAGAGAAGAGAAAGTTGAAGTGGAGGAGACAGCTGATATCGAACCAGGACAAGTTGATATTGCTGCAGCAGTAACTTTGCAAGAAGACCCACAGCCATTGGATGATAAAGAGGACAAAGCTGAAGTAATTGCTATGAAATTTGAATCCAATGAAGAACAACTAGAAGTTGAAGAAACAGCCGATGTTCAGGAAACCCCAGTAGACGTAGTTGCTCTACAAGCTGATCAGCACTCAAGTGAAGATCAAGAAGGCAAGGCAGAAGTAGTTGCCATGAAATTCGAGACAAGAGAAGAGAAGGTTGAAGTAGAACAAGCAGCCGATGTTGAAGAAACACCCCCTGCGGTAGTTGCTGTAAAAGACGCAGAGCAGCCATCTGGAGACCAAGAAGACAAAGCTGAAGTAATAACAATGAAATTTGAGTCAAGAGAAGAGAAGGCTGAAGTAGAACAAACAGCCGATGTTGAAGAAGCAGCACCAGAAGCAGTTGCAGCACAAGAAGAAACCAAACAAACAGCTGAGGATCAAGAAGGCAAGGCTGAAGTAGTTGCCATAAAATTTGAATCCAAAGAGGAAAATGTAGAAATAGAAGAAACGGTTGATGCCGAAGGAGCACCAGCAGTTGTTGTTGCACAAGAAGCAGAAAAACCATCTGAAGACCAGGAGGACATGGCTGAAGTAATGACAATGAAGTTTGAATCCAATGAAGAAAATATAGAAATAGAAGAAACGGCTGATGTTGAGGCAGCACAAACTGAAATTTCTGCAGAAGCCAAAGCAATAAATGCAACTGGAGATGAAGAAAGTAAAGCCGAGATTGTAACCACAAAATTTGAATCTAGTGAAGAAACTATTCTGAGAGAAGAAACTGCATTTGAGGAGGCCAAAGAAGCGAAAGTTTTTGTGGATGCAGTTAAAATAGGAACCCAAGCTTCACAATACAATGATCAACAATTATCACCAAAAAATGAATATGTTGTTGAACGTTTTCTGTATAAACCTCTATCACAACATGAGATACAAGATGGAGGAGAAGATTCCGACGGACTAGAGGAAAAACCCATCGTTAAAGTTCGCTTGGCTGAAGAACCTTTCCAAACTGATTTGGATGAACATGATGGTTATATCGTAGAAGTCCATGGAACTGAAGTAGACACAGAAGAAATTGTCACTTCGCCTGAATTTGAAAGTCAACCAGCAGAAGATATCGACGGGTTGTTGATCAAGGAAGAGCACAATAGTGATAACGAAGAAAACGACAGTGACGGAGAAATTGAAGTAAAAATTCGAAGATTTTCCCAAGAAAACCAAGAGCTTATACGTGATGATAGTGAAGATGATGAAGACTCGCCAGTAGATTGGATGGCCAAGGATGATACAGACGAAGTAGTATTCCGAGGAGAAGCACCAACGATCTCTTTAGAGGTAGAGGAATCAGAAACTAGTCCAACAAGGAACAATGATGATGCTCACATATCACTCGCAGGTGGAGGGAAAATATTCATTGATGATGTAGTTGTCCCAGATACACGAGAGGTCGAGGTCTGTAGCGGCCTTGAAAGCATGTTTGCACCAGAAGAATTGCGAGAACCAGAAGAATTTAAACCTGACGACAAAGTTTTAAATTATGACATTTATAAAGATATAGAAGAAGAGAGAAAACGGTTTGCTAGTGAGGGAAAGGGTGCAACAGAATCTGGAAAGAATGTTGAGGTACATGAAGAAGTTCTGGCAAACGAGGTCAAGAGAAAAGAAGTGAGCGACCTTGATATTAAACTGATGAATGAAAACCCTCATGATAAAGAAGGGATGGAAGGGTTTGAGATTGAAGAAGAGAAACCACCCTCGCCTCTTGAAGCGAAGGAAAGTAAAGAAAGAGGCATTAAACAAATCTTTGAAACCGAAACCTTTCGGTCTTCTGGTGAATTTTTGAGTCCAGTACAAGAAGGTGAAGAATATGACCCTAGTGCTAACACAAAAGATGTCAACTTAGTTTTTGAAAAGAAAGCTGTGGTTGACGAAGAATCTCTTCAAGCAAGCGAGCAAGAAAAGCGGTGTTCACTTGAATGGTCTTTGTTAGACAAGTGGAAAGAAATGGAGATGAAAGCGAAGAGAAACAGCTTAGAGCTRGAAGAATCGAAAATTCAATCAGAAACGATAAACGAAACTGAATCCGATCAACCTGCTGTCTTAACTGTGTCGACATCAGAAGAAAGTCAAGACGACCAGGGAATAAATGAGTTTGAGAATCGAGAGAGCGAAGAGCCCGAGGTTACAGTAACAGAGACAACAGAAACAACACCTTCATCGTTTTCCAAGGTAAAAACAACCAAGACTGTCACGAAGACCAGGATCATCAAAGCCAGAACCGAAGTACAACCTGAAACACAGGTATGTCTTTTATAGCATTTGTCAGAAAGGAGCGGGGAATGGGCACTTTCTTGTTGCTTGGGGATTGTTATTACTATTATTGTTATTATCATTATTATTATTATTATTATTATCATTATTATTATTA